GTTGAGGAACAGACAATAATTAACGAACTTTCACGTACTTTTGCTACCCCCTCAAAATATCTACGTTTCTCCTCCTTTCTTACGCTCTGGTTCTTTTCTCGCGAAATTCAACACCCATCTCTGATTTGCCCATTTCACTCGGATTCTCCGGTAAAGGTACTTTCTTTCATTTTCTTGGCTTTAAAATTTTCTTGCATTTAAAATTTTCTTGCAAAAGTCAGTAACAGTTGAATTACATTGCTTGTAATTTTTGTTTTCTTCAATTCCTTCCCAAATTTTCATTTTTGACTTTTTTTCTTTTCTTCGTGAGGATTTTTGGATCAATTTTCTGATATCAATGGGGATGTAGATGGATATTGATGAAATTATCGGAGAACCATTAGCTCGCCCTGTGAATCTTCCGACAAAAAGTGCAATCTATGTCTGGGGATACAACCAGAGTGGGCAGACTGGTCGGAAGGGGAAAGGACGCCAATTGCGGATACCAAAGCAGCTCTCTCCCGACCTTTTTGGGTGCCCAGCAGGGGCTAATGCCCGTTGGTTGGATATTGCCTGCGGTCGGGAGCATACAGCCGCCGTGGCCTCAGATGGGTCGCTTTTCACTTGGGGTTTGTTCCTTTTACTCAAATGAATTACCTTTTCTGTGGTATTTTGTTGTTGCCGCAAGATTATATTTTTCTAGCATTTTTTGTTATACGATTGGTAGCTATTTGTTAGTGTTGGTTTTTTGTGTTCCTTGCATAAATATTTGTGAATTTATGATTTGAGCAGGTGCTAATGAGTTTGGTCAACTGGGAGATGGCACCGAGGAGGGTAGGAAGCACCCCAAGAAAGTAAATCAATTGCAGACAGAATTTGTTAAATCTGTATCTTGTGGAGCACATTGCACTGCCGCCATTGCAGAACCTCGTGAAAATGATGGAACCATCTCAACACGTAGCCTCTGGGTTTGGGGACAGAATCAGGTACCGTCATTTTACCCATAGAAATAACCATCATTTTTTTTTTTTTTTAAAGATTTTTTTACTGAGTTTAATATACACTTCTCATTTCAGGGATCAGATTTTCCGCGTCTATTTTGGGGTGCCTTCACTCCAAATACAGTAAGCATTGAAATATTCTTATTTTGTGTTGATTATGATAGTGATTTAGTTGCTGAATGTACCTGTTCATGTTAGAAAATCTGTGTTAAGGATGAAGTGTAAAGAGTATTGTGTTTCTCATGCTAATCCTTTTCCCTCATTGATGTCATGTGAATTAAGACCCTCCCCTTTCTTGTTGGCAAAGGAAAGGAAAATGAAAAGTGGTTCCTCGTTAGGCATTCTCATGCATCATTATTCTGTGATGCAGTTTTTTCTTGTTGGAATTCTTACCACTTTCTTTTTGTGTGAATGTACTGTTTGCTGAGTTCCCTACTTGACAGATCGATCTGAAATGAAGATTTTGGTCATTACAGATAATCTGCCAAGTTTCCTGTGGAGCAGTTCATGTAGTGGCTTTATCTGAAGAAGGCCTATTACAAGCTTGGGGTAAGTGTTTCTTTAGTTCAACTATTTTGTATTGATTTAAGTTATTTTTCTAGTACAATATCTGAATATTATCATAACTTCTCCATGAACAGTTGTACTTCATATGTGTTTATTATTTCTGATAATGTCCATGCATATATGCTTTATTTAACATGGAACTGGTCTTTGTGGCACAACGATTCATGTCCCAAGCTTAAGAGCTTGGAGATCCTCAATCCTGGTTGAACTTGAGCTACCAGCTCCAGCCTTATGGAAAAGGTGGACTGCTGTTTGTGATTGTACCTTAACCATTCTCCCAAAATTCCCTATGATAAAAAATGCTCTATTTGACTTGTTTTCCTGGATCTTTGAAGGATACTTTTGTAATCATGCTACTTTCCTGCTAATCAGTATTTGTCACTACCAGGTTACAATGAATACGGTCAGCTTGGCAGAGGCTTTACTTGTGAAGGTCTGCAGGGTCCTCGCTTGATAACAGCTTATGCAAGGTTCCTTGATGAAGCTCCTGAGCCTGTGAAGATTACCCAAGTGTCATGTGGGGAGTACCACACAGCAGCTATATCAGAAAAAGGCGAGGTGTAAGTATCTGAAGGACTTGTTACATGGTGATAAGTTCTGCATTTAAGCATGAAACTGTGGTTATCCGCATGACACAAGTAACTCTTTCAAAGGTCTGGAAAAAACTACTTATGGGAATCTCACATCCAGTCAGGAGATGGGATGCAACAGAAATGGGATGCATTCTTATATGCAAGTCTCTGTTCCCTATGTTGGTTATATATCATATTAAGTAGAGCTATAACTTTTGAAGATGGTTTAATTAGCTATGCTGCTTATGTTTGCCCTAAGTTTTTCCTCTTCAGGTTCAAGTTTATTCCTTGGCTATATTTTTTATTCCTCTAATCACAATGACTTGTGCTTTTATGATGCATCAGTAGTCTCATATTAGGCTCGTCAAATAGGCTTTGATTGGAGCATGTCATCAATATCTTTTATGTTAATGATTGTCAGATTTTACTGATAAGTGTGCCTTTTGATTTATATTAAGTAGAAAATAGGCTAAAGTTCTAATTTGTGGTATTTGTATTGATCGTTTTGGCATCACACTGTCCTTGCTTAATACTTTTAGGGGTTACACGGTTTCAGCTTGTGAAGCACACTAGGATACTAATGTTATTTGTCATGTATTTACTTACTGGTGGTACATGCCTTGCAAATGGAAAGTTGAAAGATGATAAGAAATTGGTCTTGTTTTCGGTTCTTCTGCACTGTGAACAAAAATTTCACCACTGATTGTAATCTTCTTAATCTTAACCTCACAGCTATACTTGGGGGCTTGGAAATATGGGCCAACTTGGACATTGTTCCCTCCAATCTGGTGACAAAGAGTTAATACCAAGGAGAGTGGGTGCACTGGATGGAATAGTCATCAAGGATATGGCCTGTGGTGGTGTGCATACTTGTGCTTTAACTTCAACAGGAGCTCTTTATGCATGGGGTGGTGGTCAAGCAGGGCAGTTGGGCCTTGGCCCCCAAACAGATTTTTTTTCAATCAGCCCTGATAACTCTAGTGCATTCTTTCGTAATATTCCTGCTTTAGTTATTCCCAATGGTGTGCAACTGGTTGCATGTGGACACTGTCACACACTTGTTTACATGAGGGATGGAAGAATTCATGGATGGGGCTACAATAGCTATGGTCAGGCAGCCAATGAGAAATCTACTTATGCCTGGTATCCATCACCAGTTGATTGGTACGATAAACTAAAGTGATTGCTCTTGGTAGATTCTGCAAAAAGTTGTGCTTTTCCATTTTCATGGAAGTACTGTATTGCAGGTGTGTTGGCAAAGTGCGAAAACTGGCAGCTGGCGGTGGCCATTCTGCTGTGTTAACTGATGCATGTTCATTGAAAGAGTTATGTGAGTTCAAGCTGGCAGACAGTATAACCCCATTAAATGCTTCTGAGATTGAGGATGTTGCATTCAGAACAGGGTCAGATTCTTTAGCACGCCTTTGTGAAAGATTGAGGTATTGATTCCTTATCTATGCTTTTCTAGTTTTGTTTTTCACTGTTTCCTTCTTCTTCCCTTTTTTTTTTTTTCACAATATTATCTTTTGCCATGGAAGGATCTTGTGTGTACCATTATCTTCTCAATGCAATATCATTGGCAATATACATCAAGAACTTTATACAGCAATCACGTGTTATTGACTCTGGGGTTCTAGACTATTAGGGCTTAACCTGAGGCTTACTTGAGTTTTTACAAAAACACATAAATATATAAATCTATTGAAATGAAATTTTCCCTTTCATTTTGCCACCATGATATGGAAGTTACATGCCATAAAGTTCTTTCCATCTATATAGGGAGCAGCTGATTGACAGTGGTGGTGACTGTGACCATGAAGATGACATCAAGAGTGGGAAGAATTGAAGAAATTGTTGTTACAGCTTGATGATTATGAAGATGGCACTTTGTATTTCCAGTTGCACACCTTCATTATCATTCTGTTTAGGACTAATAACAAATTATTTACATTAAAAAAAAAAAAAAAAACTGTTGATTTGTGTATCATAATGTATTCCACTGTGATTGCGTGGACGACATATTTGGTTAATTAGGACTTAGGACTGTCGTCAAAACAAGCAGTGGCATTGTTATGAACAACTTGTATTTATGATCATTGAGCATTCATGGAACTCAAAATTACACGACTTTAAACCAAGTTAATCATCCTTTCTCGCTGCAACTTCACCGTATGTAGATTAGATTATTTGGTTTGCATTTGCAGTTCCTTTTGAAGAAACTTGTATCTTTGGCAGGGAGAAGAAAGGTGATGAATAAAAAAAAACACTCATTACATTCTTTAGTTTAACATATTTTACAGAATATTTATTAAAAAATTATTATTTTTAAATTTAAATTTAAGATAAAAATATTTTTACTTACAAAATTTAATGGCCAAACTAGTAAATATTAATGAGTGTGTTGACTTGTAAGATATATTAATTATTTTATATATATATATATATATATATATATAAACCCAAACAACAACTACAACTTAGAAAGAGTTTATATATTTCACCTTAAATAATATTAAGAGTTTTCACATTGCATAAAGTATGTAGATAATCTAGTAGCTATATGCTAGATAATTTGACATCAACTCATGTATATATTTTTGAATCGTTGATGTCTCAGTCTTGATTCATATCCCTTCTCTAGCCGTTCACATGGCGAACCATCCATGGTGGCATAAGCGTATTATTCGGCCTTGACGTCCCTTCTGCTTCTTCATTAGGTTGGAAACTCCCACTACATCAATATTCATTATAATCAAATTCAGTTTAACATTTATCATGTCACCAAGAAACTGAGATCAGGGAAGGAAAATGTATACCCTATGGTTAAAGAAGGGAATAGCAGTGTTGCTGTTGGCTGCGGTGGTGGTGGTTGAATGAACTGCGGTGATGAGCCTTGGCCAAGGTGTTGCTGCTCGTTTTCCTTCAGCTATGTTTTAGTTTGTGTTAGAAGTTTGCATGAAAGAAGATGGCATAAAATGACGATATATATGGATGCAAAGTGCTCTTACATGTACCTTCTTCGCTAAGGTATCATTCTGTTCTCGCAATGACTTTTCCTGCCAAAAACTCGTCCATCTCAAATATAAATATGTAAAAGATTTGACACTTCCAGGAGTGTACTAATCTAATTAACAAAACATCCTTATACCCTAATGCTACAATTTCATGTATATAACTTACCTTTTTCTGCAGTTCTGAGATGGATTCATGCATTGCTTGATTCTAAAAAAGCAAGGTTAATTCAATATATCAGTAAACATGCATGTGTATATTAATATCTAAAAGACTTAGCTCATTTTGCTCAAAATTATGACCTTTCTAGATCGGATGCGCTTAAGAGCGGTATCAATCTGTTGCTCCAAATGTTGGAGCTCTCTGAGACTCAGGGGAGAAAGCTCTTCTCCCATAAAGTGCTTTATGTTCCTTTGTAAAGCTTCAATCCTTGACATCAGCTTGGGAACTTCAATGGACCAGTTTGCCTATACATCATCAACATAAATTGGAAAAAAAAAAAGTTATCCAAATCCTTTTTTTTTTTTTTTTGACAATATTTAGAGTTCATTGGACATAATATGCATTTAAGAAAGCATGTTACACTATTTTTTTATCAGGGAATCCACCCCTCATTCAATGGCTTCTGTTTTGCAGTCCCCTGTTTTGTAGTCTAGACTACAAAACAAGGGACTCATTTTTTATTTTTATATTTTATAATGACTTTATATCTAACTTTTATAGGAATTTTAAAGAACATGACCTAAATTCTTGAAATTAAAAGAAAAACTCTTAAGAATTAAAATCTTAAATACACATGCAAGTATAATTAATTTCTGAATTCATATAATATCAATCTTGATTGGAAATGATGGAGCCTTGTTATTGCAAAATGACATATGATTAATGAAATTTTAACGATACAGGCATGAAGCAAGAAGATGTAAGGATTGAGACATGGATAAGCATGCATTTCCAACATAATAAATATATCAACTTAATCAAGACACCGTATGTGACAATATTCTTGAAAATTACTTGGATGATTGACTTTAAGAAGTACCTGTGACTCAGAATCATTAGGGAGAAGCTGTCTTTCTGCATATGAATATCGTTCATATCGTTCCAAGATCCTCTCCATGCTGTTGAAAGAAAGATAAAAAGAACTTTAACTTATAAATGCTTATAGAAATGTTAGCAGCTACTTAACGAAACATAGAAATCTAACCCCTTTTTTTTAATAGTGGAAGGCAGAGAACAATAGGTATGCTAAGTGTTCAAGCATTTTTTTTCTTTAAACAGCAAAAAGAAAAGAGTTTATTAATTACTCAAAAAGAGTATAAAAAGTACTCAACTATTAATTAAAAAAAGTCTAAAAAAAAGCATCCCGAACCATGAAAGTAAAATATGAGTGTATTATCCAGAACTGTTTCTGTGTTTTATTTCTAATATATTTTACTTTCCATACAAAATAAATAAAAAATGAGTAAGAAAAGAAAAAACATTTTTCCTTCTTGATTAAAAGTCAAATTGAGGAAAGACACACAGAAGTCCCTCAACTTTACTGTCACTTTCAAATTGGTTTCCCTAACTTTGAAATTTGTAATCAAAACCCCAACTTTAATATGGTTTTCATTGATACTCCATATGTAGTAATGGATTGAGTACCCCTTACACTCAAATTAATGATATTAATCCATGGCTAATAAAAATAAATAAATTCATACTCCATATAGTTTTAAAAATGAAACTCCTAATAAGAATATAGCTATAGATTTGGTAATCAAAACTGATAAAATTAACATATCTACATTAGATCCTAATGGATCAATAGCAGAAATTACTACAAAATTATTTAGTAAATATTAAAAGTTGAGGAATTTGTTTAAAGAAAAACTTAAAGTTGGAAGTCCAACTTGAGATTGAGTGCAGAGATGAAGGGTACTGGTTCTTTTACCGCGTCCAAGCATTTAAATGTATGAGTTATTCAGTTTCTTAATTAGAATATAACTACATTCTACGGTGACCAGAACCAATGCCAAGAGGACAACCAATTAAATGCCAGCATGCTTAATTACACATAGAAACACACACACTCTCTCTTTCATTAATTATACTTTTATTTTCATTTTATTATGTTTATGTTCAATAACTATGTACTTAGATGTTGATAAAGAAAACAGTGCATGGATTTACCCATACGAAGTCTCTTTTTTTTTTTTTTTTCTGGCCACAAAGGAATTATCTAACTTTTATAAGAAAGTTCTGTTGAAATTATTCATGTTTGGTAGGAAGTTGACATTATAGTACTTGTTGAGGTAAATGTTGTTAAGATAAATGTAAGAAAGTTGTAGAAAAAGTTTTTATCTCAAAAGAAAAAAAAAAAAGAAAAAGAAAAGAAGAACCAACTCATTGAAAGTTGTATATGAAACAATAAATACCACATTACCCTTCATTTTTTCTGAATAAAGTCGGGAAAACTTTCTCCTCACTGACGTTGATCCAAATAGAGCAACAGTGTTTTTTATTAGAAAATGACAGAGACACAACCCTTGCCTCACAACCTTGAATCACAATCTTATGTGCGAACCGTATAGGGTGCCTAACTAAGTGAACTAATTATTAATTAATTAGGAGCAAAACGCCACCTCCCACGAGAATTGGCAAGTCAAGATTATGAGACAAGATTGTACCTCATTCATTTTCCTTTCTCATTTTGTAATGATATTTCCTTTAATTGGTTAGTTCTTAGTTTATTTAGGGGTGGATATATATAACCTGCTTATAAAAAAGAGGTTTTAAAGTTTAAATTGGAACAAGAACTCATCTTGTAATAACTAATTATTTCTTATTCAAAAACCTACAATAGATTCTAAGGTCATTTTTCATTGTCACCAAATATTCTAACCTTAATTTTCCAGCTCTAATACAATTATGGTTGTAAACAAGTTAACTTGAGATGAGTCACTATTGAGTTGGCAGCTCATGACCTTCTCACGAGCTCTCTCTCTCTCTCTCATTCTACACATGCACATACGTGCACACACATATATAAAATTATCAAGCTACTTGCAAATTTTTATTGAGTTTAAGCTTGAGTTTGAGCTTGATAAACTTAATCAGTTCAAACTCACTTAGCAAATGAGTTGAACTCTAATTAGGTTGTTCATAAATTACTAAAATCCAGAAGAGCTTTAAATATAATTCAGGAATCATTTAGAAAATCCAATATCCTTAACCTTTATTACTAATGTTTTCATGAGGGGTTTATTTTGTAAATTTTGTTAATTTGTAATAGTTTCTTCATGTGTTTCATAATTAGCAAAATGGTTCCTTCACTAATAACATTAATTAGAATACTTCATATTATATTAAACTACAAAAACTAGTAATATTAGGAGAGGGTCATTCTAAAAAACAAAAACCTCTGATTCAATAATTTCTGTTTTATAGTGCAATGTATTCTAAATTACAAATACTGTTTGTGTTAATTAATACTAAAAATTCCTAATTTGCTACTAAATACCATATAATATGGAGATCATATATAAACATTACACATGTACAAAATAATCTTAAGAAGTATCATATAAGCTTTCAGCCTCTTCGTAGTTAATAAAAACAACTCCATAAGTCCATTTTTTTCTCAATACATGTCATCATGAAATCTTTGCATGTAGAACCGCTTCTCTAAATCAAATTGTGACACGACATTATACGGTACTGACTCCAATATTTATGACTCGTACATTATTGACTTTATTCCTCAAACTCACTCGAACAAGTTACATTATGCATGTCCTTGAGAAGTACCCCCGTGAAGGTAACTTTCGTGGTAGACTGGTGGTGCATTCATGACAATTTCACCTTGACTCTTTACTGTTACTTTACCTTCCTGGTGAAAATCCTTTAGGGTTCTTAATTACTTTCCCTTTTCTGAAAAAATTTGCAAAGTATAGTACATACTGTATACATTCTTTTCTTGAACATTTCAGACCTAAACAAAAGTAAGGTGAAGGAGAAAACTCAAGACTACTGTACTCCTAGCTAGAAAATCATCATGGAAGATCATTAGAGTAAACCTAGTACCAAAATCCATATAAATATGATCAGATTTCACACTCACTGTGTAAAGTGGAAGAATTTTATGGAAATCATAAATTATATATAATTTAACAAAGTCTCATTATTGCTTTTTTCCCCATATGCAACCCCTTTGCCATTAATACAATATATCACTAGGGATTGAGGAGGCAACAAGAATCGATTCCCAACAACATCTTAGGTTACACACCAGATGCAAGAACATAGGACAAAGAAAATCAATCCAGTACCACCACCAAGGCCCATGACACAGTGCTCTAGAAGGCAACACTTTAAATTTCTTTTTGGTTCAACCAGACATTAAATTTGGCTTCTTTTCTTACACCCCAAATTTAAAACAAGTACAACCCTTATATTTACTCCCTAGCTTTAATTTCTCAGAGTTCTCTAGACAAGGAACGTAACATTAGAAATCTTCTTACTGGTACAGGATCAGACCAGACATCATATGTATGATGCAGTTATATTACTACTACCTTTTGGACAAGACAAATCATCACCAGCTACAACTACTTAATTATACCTGTCTGTCCTAACATCAAAACTGAAATTTTACTAACAAGAAACCAAACATAGATGAACTGTATAGGTATATTTTTAAAGCTTGCTCAATCTTGAGAGCTGAAATTAGGTAAGACATATGGGTTTTTTTTTTTTAAAAGTAAAAGTGTTGAGAGAAGAAATTATCAGATTAAGAAAATATCATTTTAAACTAGTTACTCCAACACAGTTTAATCTATTTTCAATAAAATAGTATAGAAGAAATCTCATGATGAAGATAACAGAAAACAAAAGATTTTAGTGTAATGCTACAGCTAATGAACAGTAGAATTAAAAAAAAAAAAAAGAGCATCAAAACAAAACCAAAAAAGAAGAAGAAGAAAGAATTAAAGAAATTAGTAAACAAAACATATTTTCAAAAGTAAAAACATGCAAAAAGAAAGCGATAGCAGATGATTGAGTTAAAGATGAAGAATTGTAAAAACCTGGAATCAGTGGAGTACTCAAACAGTTTTCCTTTGTTGGAGAAGACAATCAAAGCCACCTCAGCATCACATAGAACTGAGATCTCATGAGCCTTCTTCAGCAGCCCCGTTCGACGCTTGGAAAACGTTACTTGCCTGCTAATCTTGTTCTCGATCCGCCGCAGCTGAACCCTACCTCTCCCCATTTTTCTATCAAACACACTCTCACTTGATTAATCACTTACTCTTTCTCTTCCCTTTTTCCTGCAAATTTTCTCCCTAGCTAGACAAACAAACTCGAGCAAACCCTAGTCCATATTTTTATATATTTTCTTTAACATGGATGGAGTTTTTTTGATGGAGAGAACATGAGAAGGGATACAAAAATGGAAATTATGGATGGGTTTCTATTTTTGTGATCAAATGTTATTTTGGGGTATTGTAATGGGGGATGCAAAAGGCGTGGTAGTGCATATATTATATAGGGAAAGAATAAAATGGAAATTATATTTTTGGGAAAGGAATTAATTTCTTTTTAATTTTGCTGGTGGGAGGGAGGGAGGGAGGGATAGGGTGAAGTTCCGGGTTCGGGTTCCATCCCCAGCCGGGAAGCGGTATTGAGGAAAACCAGGGTTGTTTTAGGGGCGAATGTGTTGTCGAGTGGAGATTGGAGGAGAGGGAGCACAGTCGTTGGTGTCGCGTTTTGAGCCACGGGATTTTGGAGAGGGAACAGTCCGTACATGATGATCTTGTCAGCTCTGTAGTGGGACCTAGTTAGCTCATGTCTTGTTACCTTGACGGCGCTCCACTGACTATGACCGGCTCTTTTGGACTGTTAGAATTTTGATCTCCCCCCACTCTTGTCTTATCAAGGGAAAAGGTTTTTTCTTTCTGCTAAATTTGACCCCTGGTAGTTGTAATTGTGAAACAGTGAAAGAAAATAAATGATAAATTCTTTGATTTAATATATTTTATAATATATTTATTAAAAAAATTATTATTTTTATATATAAATTTATAATAAAAATTTTTTAAA